ATTCTCGCTGTCGTCTATGTCTTGAATATTAATTATTGTCACTACAGTGTTGCTTTTGATATCTTCAGATATAACATTTGTTTCAGACATTATGTTAATAATGGGGTGATTATCGTTCACATCTATAACGTCAACTATTACTTTGCATGTGTCCGTTAGTCCTCCGTCATCACTTGCACGCACATTTATCCGATAATTGTTTGACTTTTCGTAGTCAATATTTCCTGTTAATCTAACCTCGCCTGTGTGTTCATTTACCTCAAACAACTGTCTGACATCGTCTAAAGTATTTCCGATCGAATACGTTATTCGTCCATTTGATCCATAATCAGCATCTGATGCACTGACTATAGTTACAACTGTGCCTCTTGGTGAATTTTCTGCGACATTAGCTTTGTATACCGACTTTGTGAAAACGGGTGCATTATCATTAGCATCTAACACCGTGATCTGAATCTGCATTGTCCCTGACAGCTGAGGTTCTCCTCCATCTACGGCCGTCAACACTAAAGATAAATGTTCATTTTTCTCTCTGTCAAGAGGCTGTTTTAAAACCATCTCAACATTTCGGGAGCCGTCTGCCTGATTGTGTAATTTAAGAGCAAAATTATCAGTCGGTTTGAGGATGTAGTTTTGGAGACCATTAATTCCCACATCCAAATCCACCGCCCTTTCTAAATCAAATTTCGACCCGATGACTGCAGACTCGCTTATTTTAAATTTAAAATCCCCTTTTTCGAAAAGGGGGGCATTATCATTTATATCCACAATTTCAACATGTACTCTGTAAAATTCAATAGGTTTCTCTAAAATAATTTGGAATTGTAGAGCACATGGAATCATCTGACCACAGAGCGTCTCTCTGTCTATTCTTTCTTTGATAAGGAGGACTCCCCTGTCTTTATTTAGCTCAATATATTCTCTGCTATCACCAAAAAACACACGAGCCTTGCGTGATCTTAGTTTCTCTACGTCCAAACCCAAATCTTGTGCTATTCTTCCAATTACGGAACCCACTGACATTTCCTCGTTAATGGAGTAGCTGACATGCCCCAAAACGGAGCTGACAAAAAGGAACGAGACAAAAAACGGTACTTGCCGTTTCATTGTTCTCCTCGGTAATATGACACAGGCAGAAACACACGTTTTTTTCTGCTG